TTCAATTTAAGGTTTCACACGTTAATTGCGCTGGACTAATAATGGCATTAATGTTGCAGGAGTTGAGTCAGTGTCGGCGGACATGAAGGCAAAAACATTGACGGTGATCGGAGACATAGATCCTGTGTGTGTAGTGGGGAAGCTGAGGAAGTTGTCTCCCACAGAGATAGTTTCAGTGGGAGCAGCCAAAGAAGAGAAGAAAAAGGAAGAGCCTAAGAAGCCAGAACCCAAGAAGGAAGAGAAGAAAAAGGAAGAACAAATAGTGGTTGTGCCGTGCTATGATTATTATTATTATCCAATAAGACCCCACCAATATTGCTATGTGACTTGTGTTGAGGAACATCCTAATCCCTGTGTCATTTTGTAATTAAGCACCTTTTGAATTTTGGTTTTCAGCGTTCCCACGCAAAATAATGGGTTTAGATGCTTGTTAACAGAGTACTGTTGTAATACTACAAGTCTTTGATATGAGATCTAGATTATTATTATTATTATTATTATTATTTTGAGTAGAAAGGTGATCGATTAATCAAGAGTATGTGCAGGCACATAGAAATGCAGAAGAGGCCGATTACATAACAGAGTAAAGGAAGCTAACTACAAACCTAGTGACTAGAAACGACAAAGCTAATGCAACTGGTTACAAAAGAACTAGACTATTATAAATCATGAGTATTAAAAATTTTAACAAGTGTAATTATTACAAAGAATATCTGAAAAAAAAAAAAGGAAAACAAAGTGGATTGGGATTTTATACTTAAGATCAAATTGAATATCGAATCAGCTCTTATGTTAACTATGAAAGGTAGTATTTTACTGGGAAAAGTAATCTTTACTCAATATATTTCATCCTTAGTCCTTACTTCCTCCTTACTTCCTAAACTAACAAGGTACTGATATTTAAAATTGATTTTCCCCAATTATTCTTGAATACTTGAGTTCTTGTCCCTGTGTTTTTTCCTGTTACGTTAAGATGATAATACACGCGCGCACACAGACACGGCACTTCATAATTATTTTTATTTTTTGAATGAAAAATGATCACTCTCCTTTCGAAACTTTTTTTTGAAAAAAAAAAAAAGAGTAATGGTTGGTCCCAGGTGGACAGGAACACCGAGCTCCACCTTTGACGATTGCATGGGGATCCAACCAGGAACCGACATCTTGGCTTCTTCCGACAAGCCTTTCGTCCTTCACTTTATTTCCTTTTTTTCTTTTCACATATTTAAGTTTCCATATAATTTCCCCTAATGACTTTATGATGATATATATATATCTATATAAAATTATAAATTATGTGGGGCTTCATTGGCATTGATTTCAACATTTCACGATGAGCCCTGTTGACAAACAGCATGCCTTTCTACTCATTGACGTGAATTATTAAACTTTTTTTTTTTGGGGCAAATAAGTGATTAGGTAATTGTCACCAGTGGGGGGTATTCCATCTACATCTCAAATTGAAATTCGTACTTGTATTTCATAAAATTATTACAAAAATATTAATTTATTAACAGATAAATAAGTAAAATTAAACTATTAAATTTGAATTATGATAATTTAAAATATTTAATAAAGTAATTTTTTAAATATGAAATCTGAACTAATATCATGATAATTGAAATGAGAAATAAATGGAAATGGACAGAAAGTAGAGGTGGCTTCCCACTTGCAATCAGTACTAACATCAGCACAACCGCGTCATCAAAGTCAGACGTGGCCACCAATTTTAGGGTTCATGAATCATGCTTGCCTCCTGATCCTTCTTCGAAACTTCACTTTCTCCCGCCCCACCCGGACCCCCTCCTCCCAAAAAAGAAAAAAGAGGCCAGGGTGGGGGAGGGGAGTTCATAAAATTGAATATATCCTGTAAAATCAATAATATATCCTGTAAAATTGATTAATAAACGTGCGACACGTGTCTCTAGAAATGTCTCAAGCGGATATGTTTTGTAATTTCGGATGGCTGTGATAATGGAGCCACAAAGATCAGTGTTTGATTAGATCCCAAGCAAGTGAGTTTTTTTGGAAGCCCTAAAAGCCAAAAGGTCACCCCAACGCCCCATGGTTCTACCTCGATCCATCCAAATCCCAATCTTCCTTCACAATTTTCTCCGGCCGTCCGTGTCTTGTGTTGAAAATAAATGACACTATGTTGAAAATAAGTTGATTTTCTAGCTGATCAGTATATGGCGCGATATGCCGCTAAAAAGCAGATTTTTTTTCCCTTTTTGGTTTTTTTTTTAACTCCTCTTGCATAATGCTCTTTCAATCCTTTACATAAAACTTATTTAACTAATTTAATTAGATTAAGAAAGTTAGATAATTTAGTTAATTATAAGGAATATAAATGTTTTTTTTAAAATACCATAATCATCTTCCTTAATATCCCTCTCACTTTTTTTTTAAATTATGGTTCAGGGAATATCCATAAAGGTAATTTAGAAAAAAAAATAATAAATATGATAAATAGGTCTTATATTTAGGATCAAAATCAATTCAACAATTAGGTCATATGTTACGGATTGGGGGAGTACCATGCCTAGAAATTTTTCTAGTTTTTGACCCAAAAAAATCATGAAGCGTTTATTGAGTTCTTCTAACAAATTCAGGCCAAACAAAGAAGAGACACGATGATCAAATTTGAGAGAAAAACAACTGTCTAATAATTATAAGAGTAATAATATTTAGATGAAAGAATCTAGAAAATATGTAATTTGTACAATATCAAAATTAAAGGCTCAATTTTTCCATTCATGATTTTAATTTTTAAAGGTAAAAAACAGGCCTTCATCAAATAAAAAAAAGTAAAAAAAAAAAAAAAACAGAATCCGCGCGTTGGGGGGTTAATTATTACTTGGCTTGACTCTCTCTAGCGTGCGACGCCCCATCCCTGTGGGTGCGTCTTGTATATAAAATCTCCCCTCAAGCTTCGATTGCTTCATCCCAGCTTCAATCATCTCCTTCTCTTTCTCTTTAAGGTCTCATCAGCAACGCTTTCTTAGCCCTCCCAGATGCCAACAGAAAATGCGAAGGTCAGAACTTGACTCTTTCATGATCTATATATACATGCATGCATCTAACTTCATTTAACCTCTTCGTTCAATTTTCAGAGAGTCTTGCTTTGTTTACCTTTCATGTCTGATCAATTATTTTTGCTTGATTCATTATGTGACAGAAAATAGTGTTGAAGGTGGAATCACACGATGACAGAATCAAGCAGAAAGCCATGAAGGCAGTCTCTGGCATTCCAGGTATATTCAAATTCTTCAGCTTCTTCATCTGCTTTCCCAGCCATGTCCTGTATATTATTAAAAACTTTTCTTGAGCATGCTGGGTTTAGTTCAATTTGAGGTTTCAAACGTTAATTGCGCTGGACTAATAATGGCATTAATATTGCAGGAGTTGAGTCAGTGTCGGCGGACATGAAGGCAAACACATTGACGGTGATCGGAGACATAGATCCTGTGTGTGCAGTGTGCAAGTTGAGGAGGTTTTCTCACACACACATAGTTTCAGTGGGACCAGCCAAAGAAGAGAAGAAAAAGGAAGAACCTAAGAAACCAGAACCCAAGAAGGAAGATCCGAAAAAAGAAGAACCAAAAGGTGTTGTGCCGTACTGTGATTGTTATTATTATCCAATAAGACCCTACCCGTATTGCTATGTGACTTGTGTTGAGGAATATCCTAATCCCTGTGTCATTTTGTAATTAAGCACCTTTTGAACTTTGATTTTCAGAGTGGAAAATAATGGGTATAGATGCTTGTTAACATAATAGTATTGTAATATTATTTCAAGTGTTTAATATAAAAGCTAGAAGGTTATTATTTTTGTTTTTTTGAGTAGAAAGATAATTGATTAATCTAGAGTATGGACATGCACATAAAAGTGCGGAAGAGCCGGTTACAAAACAGGGTAAAGGAAGCTAACTACAAACCTAGCGACTAGAAACAACAAAACTAATGCAACTGGTTACAAAAGAGCCTCATCATTATGAATCATGTGTATTAATTAGCTAGAATTATTATTTTATGAAATTTTTAACACATACAACTATTACAAATATCACCTTAAAAAAATAAAAAATATGAGAGACAAAATGAATTGGGATTTTGTACTTAAAATCAAATTGAATAACAAATTAGTTCTTATGTTAACAATAAAGATAGTATTTTACTGGGAAAAGTAATCTTTACTCAATATATTTCATCCTTGGTCCTTACGTCCTCCTTACTTCCTAAACTAACAAGATGCTGATCTTTAAAATTAATTTTCCCCAATTATTCTGGAATACTTGAGTTATTGTCTCTCTGTTTTTTCCCCTGTTATGCTAAGATGATAATTCACACACACACACGGCACTTCATAAATATGGTTATTTTTTGAATGAAAAATGATCACTTTCCTTTCGAAACTTTTTTTGTCTGTTTGAGTAGCCCCGGTTGCCAAACAAGGCAGTCTCAATCTATCATATTCAGATTATTTAATTATAATTTGTAAATTACAGCTGGAGGTGGCTATGCGGCTGGGCAAAGAAAAATAGTGACTGATGGTTAATTCACGTTGTGGATATTAAAAAAAGTAGTTTGAAAAAGATGATCGTGTTATTCAAAGGGAAAATGACCCATTACCACTAGTATTTTCTGTGTGCCTTCTGAGGGACGAAATAACCTCAGAATCACCTCGGTTTGGGAAAGTAACCATTATCTGCAACTGAGGTTATGATTTATGCATTTAAGCACTCGGTTTAGGTTCTGATTTTGCATTATTTTTACCATACCACACAAAATGAAATAATATTTTCATTACTTCCCATGTTCTAATCAAATTCAATTAATAGATTTCATCTTCATTCATATTGTTATTTTATTTTCCACTCCATTTAAAAACAATCTGTATATACCAAACTGATCATAAAAAAAAAAAAAAGAGATTCTTGCATCTCTGGCTCCTTTATATGAAATTGCAATTCCTTTTTTTCCCCCCAAATACAGTTTTACTCTATAAATACCTCCGGTCTTAGCTTTAACCTCACATTTTCAATCAAACCACTATCTAGAAGCTGCTTCCGTCCTTCCTTTCTGTTTCCATCCGGAATCTGACGCAAAATGATGGTGAGAGTTTCATCTTTTTCTCCTTCATGTCTTCAAAAAATATCTTGAGACTTCTTCTTCTTCTCGACCCCTTTCACGCATCACTCGGTGAATTCTATTTTATTACTATCAGTAAAATCATCTCTTTTGTTCTAACGTACATCTGTGTTTTGCTGTGTGAGACAGAAAGTAGTGCTGTGGGTGGACTTTCACTGTGAAAAAATGAAGTCCAAAGCCATGAAGGCAGTTTCTAAACTTCCAGGTACTGAATCGTAAAACACCACATCAAGAAGAGGACTCTATGGATCATAAACTTGAGAAATCATAATATATCATGATATATATACATATATATTGAAGGGTTTGTAGTGATGAATTTAACTTTTGCAGGAGTTGAATCAGTGTCAGTGGACACGAAAGACAAGAAATTGACAGTAACTGGAGACGTGGACCCAGTATGCGTAGTAGACAAGCTGAAGAAGGTGTGTAATACAGAAATAATATCTGTAGGACCAGCGAAGGAGCCAGAGAAGAAGAAGAAAGACGATGATAAGGCAAAGAAGGAAGCAGAAGAAAAGAAAAAACTTGAGTTGGAGGCAAAAAGGTTGGCTGAGCTCAGGAGTTTGTCAGAGTATTATCACCACCAGATGAGACATCCATATCCATATTACTGTAGAAGCATGGTTGAAGAAGACCCAAATAGCTGTGTCATTTGCTGAATGTTAGATCAGACTCATATCACCAGATCACTTTGTTTGAGTTGTGTGTTTCTGTTCAGTTCATGACTTTTTCTTTTGCTTAATTTCTGTTCAGGATGTTCGTAATGAAGTGACCATATTTGATTTTGCCGATCTTGATGGTTGTCTGTTCATACTTTCTCGTAGTCCAAGTCTTCTTACGAAGTCTTTCTTTTATTGCTATTATATTTGAGCATCTGGACTCCTACCACTGACAGCCCATGGTTTAATTAATAATCCCCATTAAATTTTCAGAAGAAGAATACTGATTCCCATGTGGTTCCAGAAAACTTTCTGTCAAATCCGAAAGTTTTATATTTTATGGGAAAGGATCCGAGAAGGCTTTATGAATGACATAGACGCATGCAATGGAAGAGAAGAGGGCTCAAGAAAAGATGCATTATTGTTAAATTAGTGGCCATGTTGCATGATTTTGATGGTCAACACTGGCAACTTTGGCTGATATATAATTAATCAATTAAGAAGCACATGATGGGGTTTGGTGCGAAATTATTGATGAACAGGGGTCAATAATCTCATTGATAAATTTATAGATATCCATAGAAAATGACAAAAGGGTCTTTAACATTTGAAGTTTGTGCTCAAATTGACCTCCTTATCTGCAAGAGAGCGACGTGAGTCTGATCAGTTGGGATCTGCTTAATATAATATTCAAATCATCGGATCAATTCACAGATTATATTAATAATATTCAACATATAATTAACAGATAATGAGATCTTGTGTCTTCCAAAGCCTTAGCTTATAATAATATTCAGAAATCGATTATATCATAAATATGAAGCAAGTTGCAGCTAGCAGATGTTACTTACAGTGCACCGTGTAGTTTTCCCAGCGTTCAGTCGGTTCAATGAATGGGTTCCAAAATACCCATTGGTGGACATACCTAAAATATCAGCCGTTAAAATTGGAGAGCCCAACATTTTATTAAGCCACTCCTTCAAAGTAAACCTTCCAATATGAGACTCATGATAGACTTTAGATATTGCTGCAAAATTGTTGGGTTCTTTTTTTTTTCCTTTTTAAGTGAAAAAATTGTTGGCGACTAGTTGTAGGCGAAATCACACTATCAACATATCATATACCCTCTGTATAAATACTAAAATTTACTAATAGTATATTGGGGAAATCACAAATAAAGACCCTTGAATTAGCAAAATCACTCTATGGTCACCTGAATATGCCAAATTACCATGAGGGACCCGGTCTCAAATTATAATTATGAAATCATGGCTAAATTACCAAAATACCCCTATTTATTTTTTTTTAAAAAAAGAAAGCCACTGCCTCATCGGAATCCGGCCACCGGCGCCGGAGCTCCGGCACCGGCGGCCTTCCTTTGTTTTTTTTTTTGTAACTGTTTTTTTTAAATAGTGAGGGAAGTGAGGTTGGGGGGATTTGATCCCCCAACCTAATGCTTTCCAAAATAAGGAATGACCATTGAGCCAACAAATTTTTGTTAACATTATGATGCAAAAAAATATATAAGTTAACTCATTTACTCTTGTTCCAGGTGATGACAACAATACATTTAAAAATAACAAGTTCTGATTATAAAATAACAAGTTTGGGATTAAATTTTAACAACGTTTTTTTTATAACAAAACACTTTGTTTCAAGTGATAACCACAATACATTTAAAAATAACAAGTTCTGATTATAAAATAACAAGTTTGGGATTAAAATTTAACAACACGTTTTTTTTATAACAAAACACTTTGTTTCAAGTGATAACAACAATACATTTAAAAATAACAAATTCTGATTATAAAATAACAAGTTTGGGATTAAAATTTAACAACAAGTTTTTTTTATAACAAAACACTTTGTTTCAAGTGATAACAACAATACATTTAAAAATAACAAGTTCTGATTATAAGATAATAAGTCTGGGATTAAAATTTAACAACACGTTTTTTTATAACAATTAATTATTTTATACTTTTAAAAAATAAATTATTTATAACTTATAAAAAATATTTTAAATATATTTATTTCTCTAAAAATACTTTTTAATCTGTATATCTATACAACTCATTATAAATCAAACTACTTCTTATAAATTAAAAGTATTTATAATAAGGCATTTTTAATCTATTAATCATAGTATAAATTTTATATTATAAAAAAACATGTTGTTAAATTTTAATCTCAGACTTATTATCTTATAATCAGAACTTGTTATTTTTAAATGTATTGTTGTTATCACTTGAAACAAAGTGTGTTGTTATAAAAAAAACGTGTTGTTAAATTTTAATCCCAAATTTGTTATTTTATAATCAGAACTTGTTATTTTTAAATGTATTGTTGTTATCACTTGAAACAAAGTGTTTTGTTATAAAAAAAACGTGTTGCTAAAATTTAATCCCAAACTTGTTATTTTATAATCAGAACTTGTTATTTTTAAATGTATTGTTGTCATCACCTGGAACAAGAGTAAATGAGTTAACTTATTTTTTTTTTCCATCATAATGTTAACAAAAATTTGTTGGCTCAATGGTCATTTCTTATTTTGGGAAGCATTAGGTTGGGGGATCAAATCCCCCCAACCTCACTTCCCCCACTATTTAAAAAAAAAAGTTGCAAAAAAAAAAAAACAAAGGAAGCCCGCCGGCGCCGGAGCTCCGGCGGCCGGACCTCGGCGTCCGGCCGTCAACAGTGGCCGGAAGCGGCCGCCGGAGCTCCGGCGCCGGTGGCCGGATTCCGGTGAGGCAGTGGCTTTCTTTTTAAAAAAAAAAAATAAAGAGGGGTATTTTGGTAATTTGGCCATGATTTCATAATTACAATTTGAGACCGGGTCCCTCATGGTAATTTGGCATATTTAGGTGACCATAGAGTGATTTTACTAATTCGAGAGTCTTTATTTGTGATTCTCCCTAGTATATTCCCTTCCTTATTTTTACAACTTGAATATATTGACAGTGTGTGTGTGTGGGTGTAAAGGACTAAAGGAGACTTCCGGTCAAAAAGAAGGACTAAAGGAGACGTGAGCAACACCGCAACAGTGACCGCACAAACCAGGAATGTGTTGTTTTTTGACTACTCAACCTAGGGTGTGTTTGGCAAGCACCCCAAACCATGGTTTTGGGACCCAAACTATGGTTTGGGAAAAATGTTAGCCAAACACCTTTAAAAAAATCAAAACCATGGTTTTGAGAAAAGCAGAAATTTTTTACTTTTGGAGGAAAAGGGGAGTGTGAGAGCCTATAGGATATGTATCTTGTTGTTTTTTTTATAAACATATTTTTTATAAATATATTTAATCTTATATCTTATAAATATATATACATATTAATTATTTATTAATTATATTATCTTATATATTATTAATATATGTTAAATAAAAAATATATTATTAACAATTTTATTCCTTCAAATTAAAATATATCATAAAATATTTTTTCTATAATTATCATATTAATTTATGTCAATTTGTATATATAAAAAGTACTTCTAATAACAACTATCCAAACACTCACACTTCTCAAAATCATTTTTTCACAAAATCTATTCTTCCCAAAATCTATTTTTTTCAGAATCTATTCTCCAGAAGCTATTCTCTAAACCATGGTTTGGTTTCATCCAAACACACATTTAATTAAGGTTGTCTGTTTCGATCGGACGTGAAATATAAGATTGCGCATTTTGAATTACACACACAATCTTGTTGAGGCTACTTCATGCCTCGTCGACGTTTTCCGTCCCACGTATCGTTACTCAATAATTCATGGTTCTCAACAGAAGTTTTAATTTGTTAGGTTCTTAACTGTTAATAATGTACCTTATGGGTCTTTAAGTGTCAATTTCCCATCAAATATTTGTTCCACCACGTTTTTTTCCATAAGATGAGTGGAGTCATTCAGGAGAGAAAAAGAGCACATGTATGAGCCAGAACAACATAAGTTTAAGAAATGGCCAGCGCAAAGAAAAACAGAGTGATGAGATAATCTTGCTTCTAATTCCAGGCCTTGCTTCACGATGTACTCTAGTTTCCCGAACAAAGGACTTTTTTTTTTTGGGGGGGGGTGTTTGGTTCACTTGCTCTATCTCAGAATCGCAGTAATTCCTTTAGTTCGGAGAAGACAATGACCTTGACTTGTGTATATTCTTAATCTGCTCCAAATCTTTGTCCTGTTTCTTGTTCCACAGCAAACCAGAGGTGGCTGAAACAGGTCGGAGGATACCTAGCTGGGTAAGATCACGATTCAAGAGCTTTCTTTAAAGCACTAATTAGAAGAACTCCAGGTGCCTTCCTTGTGAAGTGGCCGGATAATGGAGATTGAGAAATAATCACTTTTTTCCCGTAATATTCTATATTATATAGTACTATTTCTGGTTCTTAATATAAGACCTCGTTTGATTTTTATTTTGGTTTTAAATATAAGATTCCAATCCATTTTGTTTCTCATATTTAGGTTTTTTTTTCTCTAAAAAAGTCCTTCTAATAATGATAATTCTAACCAATGCACTTGATTAGTAAAGATATTTTAAAAAAGAAAATATCTGTTCGTTACAAATAATTAACTTATATCCTTAATTTTTTCAAATTAATCAATTAATTTTTATAATTAGAACCGGAAGTAGTATTTCATTAGTAATTTTAATGCGGAACCTAAAAGTTGAAGAAGGTACGTGGTCCTGCAATCAAGACCCCAAATTGGTTCAATGGAGATGATGATGAAGATGCCATGTCATGATTCCAAAAGAAGTGGGCTCAGAAAATGACCCAAAAAGGGAGCCCAAATCACATATGCAGGTACAGCCGGAGGAGGAGAGGGAAAACAAGAATATTCGGACCCCTGAAGGCAGTACAATAGGGGCAAAATTGGATATCGGAGGCATGTGGGTGATTTTGGATGATCTCCTCTCTCTGTGGCTCTCGTCTCTTTCCTTCCCTTTTGTATCTTTTTTCTGTTTCTATCAGTTTGTTTATAGTACTATTTCTTGTATACCGATAGTTATAAGTGGATTGAATATTAAATATATGCTGCTGGTTCCATTGTGTTGAGATATTTTTGAATTTAGATCATTACATGCCAATTTCTGATACAAACCGGAAAGTCGAGCAGGGTCAGTCTCACTTCTGGAATTGATGGTAAAATGGTGCCAACGCAGCTTTGAAACAATAGGAACATTTATGAAGATGAGACTAGAAGGAGCATAACACAACTCTGTGTATGCAAATGAGAAATTAGAATTTACCTCGGAAAATAAAGCTGAGTGCACAATTCATTGTTTCCGCGAGAAATTTCAGCCATCACGTTAAAACTAACAGGGCTATATTTACCTGGGTTCATGGAGAAAGCTAGCTGAGCTCAACAGCTTCACGATGCAGAAATCAAGCAGAAGCTAACTAAATTGGTCGCTCAGACTGAGGAATCTCAGGTAGTGATCCATTAAGAATAAGTAAAAATCCTGAAAGCATTATGCAGTGAAAAAAAAAGGCAACGAAGAGAATGAATAGAGTATAAGTATATCAAAAAAGGCTCAAAGACTATTCTTCTTATCGGAGGGATTAATCCAGAAAACAAAGATATTCCTCCCGCAAAATTTGAGACGCCAACTTTGTTTCATGTGAGCTTCTGCAATGAAATTTGCTTTCGGTAGGTTTTTAGAGGCTGGCATAAACCAATAATAAAGAGTCAAAATTTTCAAATGACATGAATTCCCCAGCTAAAATACTTGAGTCATGTTGAATCTTTAACTCATTGGTATAATTTAGATGTAAAATAAAACTCTAATTACACCACAAACTAGATCTTATATCTAGATTTGTATGTAGTAAAAATACTACTCATCTAGTTCTAAATATAAAACTTATTTTGTAGTGTAATTGACACTACAAAGTGAATTTTACATTTAAAAATATAATTTATACTATAAAAATAAAAATTTATAATTTACACTAAAAAAATAGATTTCATGTTTAAAATTAGTGGGGCATTTTTTTAATATATCAACCATAGATTAGTTGTTCTATAATGGGAAGCAACTTTTCTTAAAGCTAGGTGGGGCAAAATATATAGGGTCATATGGCATATGAGTATAAATGAAAAAAAGATGGAATTTGTGAGGTGCGTTATGAAGATGATTTCCAAGCTTATCTGTCGTACATAGCAGGTACGCGCAACGGTTCATGCCTCTGTCTCAAGCCATCTCAAGGAGAGTTTGTTGACGCAGCAGTACACTAATTTGCAAAAGAAGTTAATTACTTAAAATAGTTATTACTTCCCCCCTTAATATATAATATTTCTGAATCTAAATAAGTAAATATAAGAGTTAGTTAACTAATTTGAGTAGATTAAGAAAATAAATTATATTAGTTATTTGTAATAAATAGGTGTTGTCTTTTCTAAAATATCTTTGTTAATCAAGTATATTGGTTAGAACTATTATTATTAGATGGATTATCTTGGAAAAAAATGTATAAATATGATAGACGAAGTGAATTAGAATCTTATATTTAGGATCAAAATAAAAGTCAAATAAGGTCTTGTATTAAAAATCGGAGGCACTAGAATCTAATTAGAGAGTAGATCTTAGTTCTATATATGAGACCTATTTTATATATTTATAATTTTTTTCAAATAAACCATATTAATGTTTCCCAATAATAATCATGTGAGATAAGGAGGAAGAAATTCATGAAGATGCTAGAGTATTTTATATAAAAAAATCATATTAACTAATTCAACTAATATCATTAATTTACTATATTAAGTTAATTAGATCTTACATTAAGAATCAATCATCAAACAAGTATTTTGAACTTTTAATAAAAAATTTAATCATTTTAAAATGCTTTACCCTTTATTAATAAAAGTACTAATATAACATGCAGTGATTACCATATACTGTATTTTTATCTTTTATACGTGGGATTACATAATTCGACATCTCAAAAGTATTTATTTATGTAATTTAAAATGAAAATTTTGTCACACATTTTGTCTTTTATAAATTAAGATTGAAAAGTTGTTTTAAAGAATTTTACTGCGGTTCTAAACATAAATTTGATTTTTTTTTTCCGTGTATTTGTCAGGCAAAAGGTAAATCCTTTTCCCAATAAATATCAATCCCCCACGAGTTGCCCGAGGGCAACGAAGAATTATGATGTTCACAAACTCGAATCAAACGTGGCGTTCACATGATTATAAAAATAAAAAATAAAAAATAAAAAATACCATCATTGCATTCCTATCCGAGAAATTTCTCCACCCTGAAATTGAAATCCCCTTTTGCTTCTGAGATTTATTTATTTATCATTTACAATTATAATATATTCTTCTTAAGGAGAACCATAATAAGATCTTAAAAAAATTGTAAAATAAGTGTTAGAGGTTACCATTTTATACTCTCTTTTTTTGGCCAAAAAGGTTACCATTTTATACTTTAAAACTTGTTATTATAACAGCTCTGGTTATTATTAAATTTTTTTAATAATTATTTCTTTTTTTTCAGATTATTATTTCTCCAAAAAGACTTGATAATAATTCTCTGTTCCCCGCACGTCTATGTGTCACTTCGCTGCCACAATTCTACATGCTGTGTGTGGCCTCACATATTTCCACGCCCAAATTACTATCAGTTTCGCGCTCTCCGCCACCGCCGCTGCCGGACACCATGGCGCAAACGCAACAGCATTTCCTGGTCCTTGGATTTCCTGTGCAAAGCCACCTGAACCCTACTCTTCAGTTCTCCAAGCGACTTATTGGCATGGGAGCGCGAGTGACTCTGCTCATCACCGTCTCCATGTACCGCCGTATCATCCAGAAGCCCATCATCGACGGCCTCACAATAGCCAGCTACTCCGACGGCTACGACGACGGTTTCACCGACTCAACCAGCAACGCTAAAGTAGATCTCTACCTCTCTGAGTTCAGCGTCTCGGAAAACAAGCTCTCACCAATCTCGTGGCCTCCAAATCGAACGAAGGCCACCCTTTCGCTGCGGTAATATACAGCCTATACCTTTCTTGGGCGGCGGAGGTGGCGCGTTCTCTTCACGTTCCGTCGGCATTCCTGTGGGTTCAACCGGCAACCGTGCTGGACATATACTATTACTACCTGACGGGTTACACAGATTACATTGACGGCGAAAGTAAAGATCCTGAAGGTGAAATTAAATTGCCGGGATTGCCGTTGATGAAGACGAAGGACCTTCCCTCGTTCTTACTACCTTCAAATATTTACTCTTTTGCCATACCGTTGATGGACGAGCACTTCCGTGAACTCGACCTGGAAGTGAAGCCAAGGGTCCTCGTGAATAGCTTCGAAGCATTGGAATCAGAGGCAATCAGAGCCGTCAGTAAGATGAACATGATCCCTGTTGGGCCGTTGATTCCTTCCGCTTTCTTAGGCGGGAAGGACCCGAGCGACACGTCGTTTGGGCTCGACATCTTTTGTCGTTCAAGTGGTTATGCTGAGTGGCTGGACTCGCAGCCAGAGCGTTCAGTGGTTTATGTGTCGTTTGGAAGCCTTTCGTCGTTGCCTGAGAGACAGATGAGGGAAATCGCGTGTGCTCTGTTAGATTCTGGAAGGCCCTTCTTGTGGGTCATTAGAGATTTTGAAGTTAGATCAGAAGAGAACTGTATAGGAAAAGAAGAGAGAGAAGAGGATGGCGTGAACTGCAGAGAAACTCACAAAAAAGAACAGAAGGCGAACTGTAGAGAAAAAGAAACTCGAAAAGAAGAAGAAGAGAAGCCGCTGATGAATGGAGAAGGAGGAAAAGAGAAGCAGAAAATGAATGAGGGAGGAGAAGAGAAGCCAAAGGTGAGAGGAGGAGGAGGAGGAGAGAAGCAGAAGACGAGTGAAGAAGAAGAAGAAGAAGAGTGGGGATGGAGAAAGGGATTAGAAGAGAAGGGTAGGATAGTAAAATGGTGTAATCAAGTGGAGGTTCTGTCACATAGGGCCGTGGGATGTTTCGTCACACACTGTGGTTGGAATTCGAGCATGGAAAGCTTAGTTTCGGGGGTTCCGATGGTGGCATTTCCTCTGTGGACGGACCAAATGACGAATGCGAAGCTGATAGAAGATGTGTGGAAGACAGGTACGAGGGTGAAGGTGAACGAGGAGGGAGTAGCAGAGAGTGAGGAAATTAGGAGGTGTTTGGATGTGGTGTTGGGGGAGGGAGCGAAAGCAGTGGAAATGAGAAACGAGGCAGAGAAATGGAAGGATTTAGCAAAAGAGGCCGTGAAGGAAGGAGGGTCTTCCCATCAGAATCTAAGGGCTTTTCTGAATGAATTTGCAGGTTGCTGAGTTATGTGCTGATTTTGAGTGCCGTACTGTGTTAGGGACGATTATTCAAATTAAATTGTGTGATCCACTTTCGTCATCAAGTTCTTCAATTTCCGACGCTTGACAAATGAATTGCTTCTTTTGTAAGCCAGTGGCCAGTGGACCAGTTCCCTCGTCTCTCCAGCTCTTGTTTCATCATCATCTTGTGTGGTGGCTATATGGCCGACACGTAAACGATAATCATCCAACAGATATATGGGGGAGACATGGGTATATAATGGGGATAAATCAAAAGCATAGCTCACCATCAAAACTTAGCCTGCTTGAGCTCTCCAACACAAAATAGGGATAGTTAATTTAGAAGTGCTTATAGTCTTAACTAATTTTAAATAAGGGCCTTATAACTTTTTTTTTCTTTTTATAAGGTTCTTATGAGTTAGAGCTGGTAATACGCGCTAATCTGCTGGTTACAGGCTGACCCATGACAGGTTTGAAGACTTGTGGTTCGGTTTTTTTAGGACCGCCTTCTAGCAGGCTAGGATTTTTCCAACCCAATCCATCAAGATAGATCGACGGGTTAGGCTCACCAACCTGTCAATTTTTTTTATTTTTTATTTTAATAAAATTTACTCAAATTTCTAAATATTTAAAATAAAACATGTAAATATAGAAATTATAAAAATAAAACATAGAATATAAAGTTTAAACTTTCAAATATCTCAAAATATTAAACATGATTGCATAATCCATCCATCCAAAATGATTTAATAAACACCCAAATTAAAACATAAATCCAAATTAACAACGGTACAACATTATAAAGTCACAAATATAATGCCTCAAGTGCTCAATCATAACTCATGACTCCTACACGGTGCGTTCCATTTAAAAGAAAAATTAAAAAAAAAAAAAGTAAAATGGGCTAGCCCGCCAACCCTACCGGTTAGCCCGTCGCAGTTACGGGCTTAACAATTATGAGCTCAAAAGATTTGTTTTAGAACAGTCTCAATTTTTATCAACCCAACCCGCTATTTCTTGGGGGGTTGGCGGGTTGAGCCGCATGTTACCGGCTCTATTATGAGTTTATCTTATTTTTAATTTAGTCTCTGAATATTTTATTCTTTATTTTATAAATTCTATTCTATAAACATAAAATAGTGTATATTATTTAATACTAGTTTATAAAAAATAATATTCTAAAAATAATGAATTATTATAATAATTTTATTTTTTTCAGCAAAAAAAATTAGGAATAATTAATTTAGAAATCCTTGTAGTTCTAACCAATTTTGAATCAAGTTCCTATAGCTTTTTTTCTTTTTTATCAGGTTCTTATACTTTCACATGTTTTTAATTAGGTCCATGCATTTATTTTTCTTTCTATCAAGTCCTTATTAATTTATCTTATTTTTAATTAAGTCCCTGAATTTTTTATTCTTTATTTTATAAATTCTATTCTATAAACATAAAACAGTGTATAATATTTAATACTAGTTTATAAACAATAATATTCTAAAAATAATGAATTATTATAATAATTTTATTTTTTTCAGCAAAAAAATTAATTATTCTAAAATGTTTTAGTGAATTAATTAATCATATTACTTATTTTTTATTATATAATTATTAATTTAATTATTGATATTTCATACTTCACTCTTAGTCTATTTAATTAGGTTTATATTTAATTAATAAATAAAAATTAAAACTAAATGCACCTGATTAAAAATTTAGTGAAATTATAAGAATTTAATAAAAAGAAAAATAAATGTAAGGATCTAATTAAAAACATGTAAAGTATAAGGACCTAATAAAAAGAAAAAAAAAACTATAGGGACTTAATTCAAAATTGGTTAAAACTATAAGGACTTACCGATTAATTAACCTAAAAAATTAATTGTTTTGAAAATTTTTAGTGAATTAATTAATTATATTACTTATTTTTTATTATATAATTCTTAATTTAATTATTAATATTTATATTTCAGTCTTGATCTTTTTAATTAAGTTTATATTTAATTAATAAATAAAAATTAAAACTATATGCACCTGATTAAAAATTTATTGCAACTATAAGGACTTAATAAAAAGAAAAATAAATGTAAGGACCTAATTAAAAACAGGTGAAAGTATAAAGATCTGATAAAAAGAAAAAAAATTATAAGGACTTGATTCAAAATTAGTTGAAATTATAAAGACTTACGGATTAATTAACCCACACAAAATAATACTAGCTGTTTTTTTAATATAAGATACCGTTTGACTTTTATTTTGGTCTTAAATATAAGAACTCAATTCATTTTGTCTTTCATATTTATTCATTTTTTTAAGATAGTCTTTCTAATAATGAGAGTTCTGATCAATAAACTTGATTAGTAAAAATATTTTAGGAAAAATAACACCTATTTATTATAAATAATTAACTTAACTTGTTTATTTAAGTTACTTAAATTAGTCTTTGTGTTGTTTGAAAATAATTGATCTCGCGTCTCCTCTCGCAAGATCCACATATAAGTATTTTTTGATGTAGATGCGGTAAACAGTAAATAAAAATACCCAAATAAACACTATACTTTTAAAAGTATTTTTTGAAATGCCTCATTTAAACTCGTTCACGCCTAAATGAACTTCAAATTCGCAAAGAAATCGTTCTTCTTAAGAACGAGTTTCATCGCATTGGTGACCTGATATTTATTATTTTTTCAATTGCAAAGCGAAATCGATCAAGGCTTGGGCAATTACCCTTTTTGCCGCCTCCTCTGATTCTCATCTAGAGCTGTCAATAAGGGCCAGCCCGGCTTTAAAGGACTAGCCCTTGAAGGACTAGGGCCTAAAAGGACCGGTCTTTTAAAGCCCACATACTTTAAAATTATTTAATTATCAAAGCCCGGTCTTTGGACATGCGGGCTCAGGGCTTAAAAGGGCTGGTCTTTTTATATTATTTTTTAAAATTTAAATTCTTGTTAATTATTTTAAAATAAAAAATAAAACAACAAAACTTCTAAGATTTTTTATTTAAATTATAAATATGAGTAAAATAAATTAGTGATGTATAGAAAAAAAATTAAATGCCAATAAACTATTATCTAAAATTTTAAAAAATCAAAATCTAACAAAACACAAAAAACAGAAAGATAAAACCTAGCAGTTAAAGATTAACAATATCAACATAATTATTATCTTTATCTTCATCTTCATCAGTATCATCAAGATCAGTAATATTTGATTGTTCTTTACTACAAGTGAGCTCTTCTTCAGTGATAAAAATATTAAGGTTTTTGTCTTCATTTACCTTGTCTAAAATAAAACTATGCAGTAATTATAAGTACAAATAAGAGCCTGAACATTTGTTCGAATAAGAAAAGTTTTACACTTTGTTAAGATATGTAAACCGATAGTAAATGGAGATCTACTAGCTATTATGGTGATTAAAATGTTAAGAATATCAGCTATCATTCTTGAAAGAATTGAAAATTGATTTTAATTGTTCTTCCACAAATCTAAGACATCTAATTCTTTTCAATTATCTAGCTTGAGTATTGATTCTTCTAAGTATTTTTCTAATTTAAACTTATTCATAAAAGACTAATCTATAACTTTATAAATATATTGATAATAATAAAAAAAAATAGGCGGGCTTAAAAGGGCTAGCCCTTGGCTCTAAAGGGTTGACCCTTTTATTTTTGAACCCTATAGGACTAGCCCTTTTAAACCCAATTTTCTTTTAAACCACCTAAAATACAAGCTCGGCTCTCCACTTAAAAGGGCTAGCCCGATAGGCTGGACCTGTTTTGACGGCTCTATTCTCGTCTTGCGTGTCCTTCATTGGCAAGAGGAAGGGTGGATGACAGCTGGGCCCACACAAGTTGGAAGCAAAATAAACACTACAATCCACCACTCATCTTCCAATGACCTTTTTTTTTTTGCTGACAAATTTTCCAATGACCATTTAAAACAATATTAAATGACTGAATTATATGTTTTTGCCCAGATGGTTTAAACATTAGATGCCACATTGGGTACTTACTATAATAACTAATTTACGGATAATATATAATTAGTTAAAATTTATTAAAAATAATAAATAAGTTAAAAATATAGTTTTATTTTTAAATATATTTTTATAATAAATATAAAAATAAGTGAAAAAGAGTATATGAAAAAAATGTGATAAGTCTAGAATCACAAGACTAGAAGGACTTGCAAGACCAGAATTAGAGAAGGCAATAAGAAGGAAATCATTCCAGCCTTAATCAATTTCATTTTGCAATTGAAAAAAATAATAAACGTCATGTCAGAAATAACGATTTTTTCACAAATTTAAAGTTTATTTGGGCGTGAATAGGTTTAAATGAAGCACGTTGAAAACTAGTTTTAAAAGTATAGTGTTTGAGTACTTTTATTTACTGTTTGCGGCATTTAGTTCAAAAGCCTGCGGAAATGATGCCCTTTTGAATCACGCACGACAAAAGCTTACAGTCTTCTGCACTACTATTAATAATTGATCTCGCCCCTCTCTCTCTCTCTTTTTCTTTTTGGTGACAATCGCCTCTCTCTCCTTTGCTATCAAATCATGTCGCCGATAAATATGTTAGGCCCAAAACCAAAAAAGATGAACTTACGTGTGGTAGTCTTTTTAATGGACAGTATGGAGAGGGATTTGAGACACGCTGAAGAGAAGCTCTGCCCAAACTTTTCCGGTTAGTCTTTCTAAATATTTTGGAGTACCACATAAGACTTTGGCTATTTTAGGGTGAAAACCCCTAAAATGTTCCCAAATAATTTACATGAATTTGGATACAAGTACAATGAATTAAAACTTATCCACTATATATATATTTGTACTATGCAGTGAAAAATAAATGAATCAGAATACAATAACAGAATTTTTTTTTTTTAAATATGGGGATGACAACAATGGCCATAAAAATTACAATTATATAAGAAATTTAAATTGTAGTAATAACTATAATATACCAACAATATATAGAGTCGAATAAATGAATTCTACCGGATGCATGGACATACCTCCGAAGCATTGACAAAAAGCTGGAAATTGAGTTAGAAATAGTGAAAACTTCAAATAGCAGAAACATCGAATCAAAATAATTAATTTCCTCAGAGACGAAATTTAGAAAATAATGCGA